CGGTTTGTATTAATATGCCCCCTCAGGACCCCTCGGCTGAGCTCCAGACATCTAGGGACGAGCCCCCGATTAGTAGGCCAGACACCAAGACCCTCTACCCTCCCTTACCCGAGGGTACAGCCCCTCATGCATTCAATTACCCGGTATTCAAAAAACAACCCCTCCGAGAGTCCCTCGACTCCGCAGAAGAGGCAACCCTCGAAGAGGAAGCGGCCCAATATCACGATCCCGAATGGCCGCCTCCTACCTCGGCCCCCCATAGACCTCCTCCTTATGAGCCCCAGATTTGCACACCTTCGTTAATGCCTCCCCTTACAATGCCCTTGCTTTTGTGTGCCAAAAAAGACTTAAGTCAAAGAGTCACGCAATTAAAGGATGTCTTACAACTTCAAAAAGAATTTGCCCAGCTTTCCAAAGACTTGTCCTCCCTCCAAGATACGCTTAAAGATTCGGTTTTCATTAGCCACCCACGTCATGAGACTGCCCAATCATATGCCACCTTAAATAAGAAATCCTTAAAGTCCTCCCATAAAGCCCTAGCATTCCCGGTAGTTACCAGGTCTAATAGGCGAGAAGACCTTGCCGCCCCTTCTTCGAGCCAGTCCCCGCCCCAAGATTCAGATAATGAGGATACGGAAGGGAGGGAAAGAGAAAGCGAAAGTGATGACCTCCCAGAAGAGACAGACTCAGAGCCCACTGAATTTCGCAGACTAAAGTTTAAAACCTTAAAAGAACTGAATTCTGCTGTTAGGGCTTATGAGCCCAATGCACCCTATACCTATTCCCTCCTGGAGGCAGCCTCGGGGGGCGGCTACCTGCTCCCCAGAGAATGGATAAAACTAGTACAGGCGGTCCTTTCTCTCGGGAAGTTCCTCTCTTGGAAGGCCGACTTTCTCAACCGCTGTCAGACCACAGCTGCTAATAATTTAAAAAACCCCAATTCTGCATCTTGGACCCTTGAAAAGCTTAGCGGACAAGGGAAATTTGCCACTGAACAGCGCCAAAGGAGACTCCCAATCGGACTCTTGTCTCAGACCGCCGCAGCCGCCTTCGGCGCTTGGCGTACACTTCCCTCTAAGGGATCTGTTCTTACTCCCCTGACAAAAATCACCCAGGGAGCTCAAGAGGGTTTTAGTGAATTTGTGGGCAGGCTTTTAGAGTCTGCTGAACGGACCCTCGGACACGAAAA